GCAGGATCTTAAGTCCGGGGCGCTCAGATGCTGAGCCCCTCTTGGCGGTCTTGTTCCAGGCTCCTCCAGGGAGGAAAGGAGAGGCAAAAATGAAGCGAGGGACCGGGGACGACCATTTCGGGGCTGAACGTTGCCAAGGCCGTGATGATGTTTGAGGAGCTCAACTGTGCTGACCAAATGAGCCGTTTTCTTTCTGCGGAAAAGTTGATTCAGTTGCATTAACGAGGATGACGGAGGGCCATTATTGGGGATTAGAAAGATTCTCTTTCGCCTTGTCTGGCTTCTTTGTGTGCGTGTGCGTGAAAGAGACACATGGGGGTAGGGGAGCGGTGGGGGGGGGGATCCTGCAGACTTGGGTTCAGATTAGGGTTCCACCACCTGAATAGTTCGACTTCCATAAGCCCCCATCCTACTAATGGCTCCGTTTCCTCATCTGTGAAATGGGGTATTAATTCCAATTGGACAGGACCGTTGTGGAGAAGCCACCCAGCACAGTTCCTGGCCCAGGGGAGGCATCTGTATGTTTAGCTCTCCCTAATTTAGTGTGAACCCAACTGGGCTCCCGATTTCGCTGTGTCTGCACTGACTTAACTCAACCTTTCCCCGCTCAGGCCTCTTCAGCCTGTTGGCCTCAACTGCGCCCTCTAAAGGGTTAGAATTTCCTGTACACACCAGGTCGAGAGAGAGAGAGAGAGAGAGAGAGAGAGAGAGAGAGAGAGAGAGAGAGAGAGAGCGCAAAACACCTGCAGAGCCAAATTAAAGGTTGCACCCACTACACACCTGCATCTGATGAAGAGCCTGCTTATACCACTGCGCTCTGTCCACCTTTTGGGAAGACTGTAATTTCGTTCTAACTTGGCGCTTTCTCATTTGCTTCTCATGTATAATGAGCTCACCGCGTGCAACGTAATGGCAAAAGCCAAATTTAAAATGAATGACTTGCTTGTAAAATTTCCATAACAGAGCTGCAGAAAATTTAATCTTGTTGCACACTTCAGAAGGATGTTATTTTCATTTCTGCCAATTACCACGTGACTATGTAACTGACCCCGTTTCATAGCCAGCATGTTGCCCACCCCCTCATCTCCAAATTCTTTATTTCTTTTTCACCATCTATGAACTCACATTTGAGGAGAATGAATGAAAAGTTGACTATTGTTTCTATAATCTTCCCATTTCCTTCCTTCCCTTTTTTCAGGGTGAGGCCCTAATGTTTTATGCCAAGCTTCCAACAGTGGGCTTACCTAGAATGGGTTACATTTTACATATTGAGCCTTAATGGAAGCCCCACACCCACTGCCTCCATTTACCCCAGAGTGCCAAATGTGCGTTGTCATATTAAATGTGTGTCAGAGAGGGGTAAACAGCTTAAAGACTACACAGTGGAGAAAGACATGAAGCCTGGGGGTCCAGAAATCCTCCAAGTTCTCCCTCATTCTCTCCAGGTGTAGAGTAAGATTATAACGCTAAAATGATGATTTGTATGTTATAACATTATAGATGCTAAAAGCAAACTTGGAGGTAGGGAAGATAAGTTTGTTTTTTCTGTTGTCTTTTACTTGTTTCTGTTAGCTAGTTGGACACTAACTTAGCTGTGAATAGTCAAAACGGTCATTACTTCCAGAGAGATTTAAGTGTGAAATGCAGATGGCTCCATTGCCTCAGATTTGTAGGGACCGCCTGAGTATCTAGAAGAATGTCTTTTTGCCCCACCCCCACCCACCCCTGGTGCTCTGCACTTGATAGTGTTTTCTACATGCACAGTTGTGCCCCTTGAATAAAACTTGTCCATTAAATGCTATTCAGTGTCATTTATTTATGAACAAATAAATTGGAAATGTCAAGAGCAGTTCAATGGCAACTACGTCTCTTAACCCATAAAATAAATAATTCAGTAAGAACATAAAGTTCTTGACATTGCTTTAGAAAAGTGCTTAATATTTCAACCCATGGCTGAAAAACTGTAAATTTTTTATCATTATTACTTGTAAGCCTTTCTTAGTTGTAAATAGACTTTAGGAAAATGCCAGATTCTGTTGTTTTATTGTATTAGCTGAGCATTGCCCCAGGGATTGTAAAAATGACATTATTACTCATATGGGCCACTCATGCCTTGTGTCAAGCTGCCTGGTTCTCCTCTTCCTGGCTCCCTGGAATCCACACAGCTAACAAGGAGAGAGAAGACAACTACCAACCACCTCTTCTGAGTCCTTTTTGGGCTCATCCTCTGGGCCCTTTGACCTTAGCTCTTTCTTGGGCTGTGAACTTTGGAGAGCAAGGGCTGTCCCACCTCTTTCTAGTCCCAGGCAGGCTCAGACACACACACACACACACACACACACACACATACACAAGCCTGGAGGCCAAAATAGACTGGAAGACTTCTCAAGAGAAGTTGTCACACATACACACACACACACACACAAGCCTGGAGGCCAAAATAGACTGGAAGACTTCTCAAGAGAAGTTGTCTTATTATATTTTTTCTTTTACAATTCACAAATTTTTCTAGAGGCAAAAGACTGATCCAGAGGATATTTAAAAGACAGAAAGAAGGATCTTTATTTTTGTATAATACATATAGTATATGTTTATTGAGAAATTTGTTTTTACCACTAAGATAAGTATAAAGAAGAGAGAAAATCCTTATAAAACCATCATCTAAAGAAAATCTCCATCAACACTTTTCTTTCTTTCCCTCCAGTCTTTTCTCCTAACATGAATACATGTTTTGGACAAAAACAACAAAGAGACTACTGCATATGTCAAAAGTAAAGTTGTTGAAGGTTCTTTGGTGACATGGAAAGAGGGTCATGCTAAAGTGCGCACTTTATTGCAGGCTCTGGGGCAGAGTGCTCCCTGGTTCTCACCTTGATGCTCCATGGCCCATAGTTGTGGCATACGAGTTGTGGAGCTCTACCATGATTCACTGGTTTAACAAGTATTATAATCTCAAGGTTTCACTTTTCAAGGTTTCTCTGTTACAATTTTGTTGACTCTTGAAGGAGAAGCAGAAGAGGCTGAGGAGGCTAGAAGGAGAAAGGGAAGAAGAGAAGGTCACAGACAATAACTGAAGCGTCAGTGCTGAAGAGACTCCATCCTAAGAAGGACTGGATGGGGTGTGGAAATTACATGCTAAGATAAGCATTTTATCACTCCCAGCAGCCTAGATAATAGGAGGCATGGGGAGAAAAGAACTCAGCCAGGTAGCAGCAGCACACACAGGTGGTGCAGAGGTTGAGAACTGGACAGTGTCGAGGAGACAGAATAATTTAAAAGATAAAGAGTAACAAGACTGAGGTAGGAGAGGAAGGAAGAACATAAGTCCCAGGACAGATCCACTAACTTGCTCTTCTGCTGGCATCCTAGGTTCCCTGCACCCATTTCCCCCCAACACACCCACCCAATAAGATTGGGTGCATGGTCGGACGCAGTGGCTCATGCCTATAATCCCAGCACTTTGGGAGGCCGAGGTGAGAGGACTGCATGAGCCTATGGGTCCAAGACTAGTCTGGGCAACTTGGCGAGACCTCATCTCTACAATAAATCAAAAAATTAGCCGGGCGTGGTGGCATGAGCCTGTACTTCCAGCTACTTGGAAGGCTGAAGTGGAAGGATCACCTGAGACCAGCAAGCATGCCACTGCACTCCAACTCCCCTCAAAAAAAAAAAATTGGGTGCAGTAGCTCACACCCGTAATCTCAGCACTTTGAGAGGCTGAGGTGGTAAGATTGCTTGCACCCAGGAGTTCAAGACCAGCCTGGACAACATGTTGAGACTTCTATCATTAAGGGGAAAAGGTTTTTTAAAAACACCCAATAAATCTTTACACAGAATCAATGCTATCATTCAGGGGTGAACAGATTTTTCCTGTAAAGGATCAGAGAGTGAGTATTTTGAGTTTTGCTGGCCACATAGCCTTTATAAAGGTAAAAAAGAAAGAAAGAAATCCGTTCTTAGCTCAGGTATAGACAGAAACAGGACATAGGCACTGTGCAATTTGCCATAATTGCTTCTCTTTCCTACCTGTCCACTTAGAACTCTGCTGAGAAAAGTCCCTGAGTTGGAGACTTCCGAGTGTCTTTGGCACCCAAAATGAAGAGGTTTTTTTTGTTTGTTTGCTTGTTTGTTTTTATACCACTCTCTTCTATGGCAACAAAATGATTTTTAGTAATAGTAATAATCATTATGTTCTTCCATATTCTTCTGTTTTAAAAATAATTTAAAGAGCAGATTTAGATTTTAAGGATATTATTCAAATTGAGTAAAACATTTCATGTATTAACTAAAAACGTCACTTTTCAAACCAAAGTTTTTCACTTCATGGTCTTGCACTTTCACTATTTTAATTTTTAGTAAAAAGTAAAACCTCCAAGTGGGCACATAGAGTGACAGAAGAGAAATGACTCGAGTCTTGTCTTTTTGTCTCAACAAAAAGCATTCAGTACAGTTTATCTGGAATGTTCTGTGAAAGGAAGCAAAGCAAAGCACTGCAGAGGGGTTGTGCTGAGGTAAGCTCCAAAAATTCTGAACTTTTAGGAGTTTCCTCTACAAACTAACTGAGGCCACTGCCAGGGTCAACTGCAAAACCAGGAGTCTCTAAAATAACTTTCACATAGAATATAATGTGTACAAAAGGATGAGCAATAAAACAGGCTAATTGTAAGGGAACATATATTGGTATTTCATTAAAACTCAATGTAAGCATTTGGGACTTAAATCAGTAAAACATTTTTTCAGGGAGGAGTATTTTATCAGTGCCATTGTCTAGAATTGCTGGCAGGTAGTGATACTTTTTCAAAGCAGACCAACTTTTCATCATTTGTTGTTTTTAAGTTCTCTGTGGACAATGCTCCGCTGTATTGCAGACTCTGGGGCAGAGTGCTCCCTGGCTCTCACCTTGGTGCTCCATGGCCCATAGTCAGGCGGCGGGACCCTGCCGGGCTCAGCTCCACCTTTGGAACTGCCCGGCAATCATTTCCACTTGTAGGCAACAGTCTCGTCCATCCTCCTGGATCCTGCACAACCTCCACCCTCCTCATTCTCAGCCAGGGACCTCACTTCCTGCTTCAGCAAAGAAATCAAACCATTAAATATGACTTTCCAACCTACTACTTACCATCGTAGATTCATCGGCCCCTCCTTCCTCAGATTCAGAAGATAGGTCTCAATGCCTGATCAAGACCAATCTGTCCCATCACCTTCAGGATTAGTCATCTTCTCTCCCTCTCACCGCCCTTTCTCCTGCACCTTATAGTCTCAGTTCTTATACATACACTTGATTCTCATATTTTAAAAGGAAAGAAAGAAAACAAAACCCTTCCTGGCCTGGCATTGTCTAACTCCATCCAGTATCCCTTCTCTCCTTCAAATGTTTTGAGAGATGGATCAAAAGCACCAATCTCATTATATCTCTTCGCTGTGTAAATTCAGCCAATGACTTTCCACTATAGACAAGATAAACTCTATTTGGCACACGGGATCCTATACGATCTAATCCCTGCCACCTGGTAACCTTACCTGGTAACCTGTACATCACTGTAGATTCCAAACTCCTTTAATCTGATTTCTTATTTTCCAAGTAATTGTCTAGCAATTAATTAAGTTTTTCAGGCGACTCTGGGAATGGAGGATAATCAGACCATTATTGGAAAGCTCTCTCTCCCACCGGAAAGTAATCAACTGGCCTTCTACCTTACCTGTTGAGTCAGGTTAGGATAAGCCAGTCCGCCTGAGGTTAATCCACTCTGGTTGTACTGAACACATTAAACAATTGCGCCTACAAAACTGAGAACCAGATCTTCTGCCAGGGACTTCACCAAGGTGAAGCTACCCTGTAAGGCTGAGGCCAGGTCTTCCTTCTCTGACATCTTTTTTTGTTACCTGTCAGTATCCATCTCTGGAAGGGAGACAGAGTATGAGCTTTGGATTTAGAACTATCTCGGTTTAAATTCTGGTTTCCCATCTGGCCACACTACATATTGGCCACGAGGCTTTGAAAAATCACCTCACTTCTCTGAGTCTATTTCCAAAATTATAATATATACATATGGGATGGATGCGAAGATGAGACAGGTTTCACAAAAGCACTTGATTCTGTGAAAAAGTAAGGAGTGTTCCCAAATCTGCATAATGACAAAGGTTAATATGAAGGTCTGATGTGATGTTGGAGCCACTCAGGCCATGATGGGGGTAGAGCTGTCTAGAGAAGATAGATATTTTTTTTTGTTTTGATGTTCAATGAAATTATTTGTTGTACATGTTTCAGAAAAATCTTGGAAAATGTATACAAGTCACGAAGATATTGGGTATGACTTTGAAGATGATCCCAAAGACAAGAAGACACTTAAGGTCAACCCAAACATTGATGGCGGATGGGCTTGGATGATGGTCCTTTCCTCTTTTTTTGTGCACATCCTCATCATGGGCTCCCAGATGGCCCTGGGTGTCCTCAACGTGGAATGGCTTGAAGAATTCCACCAGAGCCGTGGCTTGACTGCATGGGTCAGCTCCCTCAGCATGGGCATCACCTTGATTGTGGGTACGTTCTCCTGTGACCTGTTATAAAACTGAATAATTATAAAATGACAATTTCCCATTGTAAGCCATATTTTATATTGTTGAAACATTACCTATTAAATGTTAGTGGCTACTCTTTTTAATATTGGCAAAATATACATAATATAAAATGTGTCATGTTTAGGTATAGTTTAGTGCTATTAAGTACATTCATATTGTTGTGCAACCATCACCCCATCCATCTCCAGAACTTTTTTCATTTTCCCAAACTGAAGCTCTGTACTCATTAAGCACTAGCTCCCCATTTCTACTTCCCCAGTGCCTACCATTTTATTTTCTGTCTCTGTGAGTTGATTATTCTAGGTAACTTATGTAAACAGAATCATACATTTGTCCTTTTATGTGATATGACTATTCAAATGTTGTAAACATTTGGAGTATTTTTTTTAATTGGTCATTTAAAAAACTTTGTTCTGCCCCAAACTTTGTTTTCTTAACCATCATAATTCATTATCTATCATTACAAATCTCTGCTTATTTAACATTTATGAATAGTTTTAAAGGTAAAAGTTTTAGATAAAATACTATAAAAATCTAATGTCTTTAATTTGAAATATTATTGATCATTCATTATTGAAAAAGCTTTTAAACTCCTTTTAGAAAGGTTACTGATTCTGCTAACAGGAAGAAATAATAATAAATTGCTGTGTGGTTGTTCTTGTATTTTCTAGTTAAACCACACAGCAATCTATGAAGCCAATTTTTGTATGGCTAGAGATACCAAGCCTGAAGATTATTATAAATATAATGTGTTTCATATATATTTAAATAATATATTAATGTTTATATATTTTAATATATAAATATATCTTTCACAGATATAAATGCAATATGTTTCAGTATGGGAACTAAGTAACTCTTACTATCAACTAATATGTCATATTATATACTAGGTGTTTTCCCTCACATTATCTCATTTAATTTTATTTTTCTCTTAACGATGCACTGTATCCTGCTGTACCACCATACCCTAATGTTCTTTAATTGTTTCACTTGAAACTAAAAGCCATATGTCTACATCTCATTTTTAAATTTAAAATATTTATGATATATTTTATATTGGAAACATAAATGGCCTCTAATCTTTTTCTGGTTTTGTGAGAGTATGTGTATCATAAACATGAGTGTTTGATGGAATCTGTGCCTTTTCAGTGATTTCTGAGTAGTAATTAATTACTTGAATCCAATTCAGAGATTTGTTGAACTTGGTTGGCATTCAGTTGATGTTATTTTTGATAATATAAACAATATTAATAACCTTGGTAGTGCTAATGACAGAAAACAAAGATGGGGTGTTTTATCTCAAGCCGTGTGGCGTGTTTTTGAGTGTGTGTGAGTGTGTGTGTATGTGTGTGCGTGCGTGTGCGCGTGCGCGCACACCCACCCATGCTGTTTACCAAAGGGAGTTAATTCTGATAGTTTTTTTTGAGTCAGAGTATCACCCTGTCACCCAGGCTGGAGTGCAGTGGTATGCTTACGGCCACCACAGTTTGACCTACTGGGCTCAGGTGATTCTTCTGCTTCAGCCCTCCAAGTAGCTGGAACTACAGGTGCGTGCTACTATGCCCTGCTTATTTTTTGGATTTATTGTAGAGATGATGTCTCACGAAATTGCCCAAGCTGATCTCGAACCCCTGGGCTCAGGCAATCCTCTCTCCTCGGCCTCTCAAAGTACTGGAATTACAGGCTTGAGCCACCGTGCCCAGTCTGACAGTTTTTAAATTAAGTACAGGCACCATTACATGTGTCAGAGAATTGCTGATAAATCATTTTTGTCCATAACACTATTAAACTGACTTCTTCAACTCTGCTTTGGTCTTGTGAAAACTAGATTGCAGATCATCTGAAAAATGCAGGTAGGTTTATTTCAGTATAAACAAAGTTCGACTTTTATGTTGGATGTGTTTCTACCTGCTCAACAAATTAGTCAAAGAAAATGGTGCTTCTAGAACACTTAAAATCCAGCTTTCTTGTCTTTAAGTGGTAAAACAAAACACACATAGATCCAATCTAGGAAGCGTGTGCTTGCAACATCATACATGCATACATACATACATAAAAGACTAGGAAGAATGCCGGGATTAAAAATGCCCCAATATTTTCCAAAACATCTGATAAATTTGCCTTGGATATTGTGTTTCATAAGTCTTGTACATAAGAAATGAACAACAGAAACTTGTCCTGAATTATTGGATATGGTTTTGAAGATGATCCCCAAAATAAGAACAACTAAATCATACTATGGCAAAATGTGATAGTCATCTTGAATTTAGTTGAGAGGTAACTATGTATTTGAAACTTTGCTTGGGAGTCCCTGAATTCCACATCATGGAATTTCAGATGGTAGACAAATCTCTTTCTACAGGGCAAACTGACTACCAAATAAACTTTTTTTTTTTTTTTTTGCTTTGGATCTCAGAAATCATAACACATCAGATCTCATAGCTATATAAACAATGGGTCTTATACGGTAAATTTCTGTATCATTATCCCAAGGTATAGGGTAGCTGCAGATTTGTTGAACAACACATGAGGGACATTTTCCAAGCCAGTAGTAACAGCTCTCTCTTATTTAACACTTACTACATGACAAGCACGTGTTAGGGGCATGATCTCATTTAATCCTACAACAACACTGGAGGATCATCTGTATCTTATAGAGGAAGAACATGCACCCTCAGAGATGAGTGAGAAACTTACCAAAGGCTGAACAACCAGCAAATGTAGGACAGGCTTCAAACCTAGTCTACTGGACCCTAAAATTGTGTCCACTATGACACGCTGCCCTGCCACTTCATCAAATGAGAACAGAAAAATGCATTTGAAGGTAATAATATAAATTGTTTTTATTTCTTTAATCATTGTAAGCATATCTGGGCTACCTTTTAAAAATGTTTTAAAAAGCCAAGAGTTATATTGTAGTAGTGGAAAGCCATCTCTCTCCTGCTGAGTGATTTCCACATGGCAAATTCAATAAATATGCACTGTTTTATTGTTACTAGCATGGATTTGCCAGGGTCCTGCAGGAAGTCCCAACTTTTAATAAGATGTAATCACCTCATTTGTATCTACAGCAGTCTTTTCTTTCTTTCTTTTCTTTCTTTTTTTAAATTTTTTGTGTCGGAGTCTTACTCTGTTGCCCAGGCTGGAGGACAGTGGCATGCATGCTCATGGCCACCGCAGCCTTGACCTGCTGGCCTCAGGTGATCCTGCCACCTCAGGCTTCCAAGTAGCTGAAACTACAGGTGCGCGCTACCACACCTGGCTTATTTTTTTGATTTTATTGTAGAGATAAGGCTTCACCAAGCTGCCCAGGCTGGTCTCGAACCCCTGAGCTCAGGCAATCCTCTCGCCGTGGTCTCCCAAAGTGCTGGGATTACAGGCTTGAGTCACCTCACCCAGCCTCTACCACCAGTCTTTGTGATGATGGCTCTCCAAATAATTCTTGGTGGATGCCATATTTTAAGAAAACCCATAGACTGCAAGAGATAATTTACTTGAGAAATAGATGTATATCAGTGGTTGTCAATCCTGGCTACCTATCAGATCCACTTGGGGAGTTTTGGGAAAAAAAAAAAAAAAACCTGAATTTTTTTAAATGGAGGGAATTATTGAGGATAACTAAAATTCAGATACCATAAATTGAAGCTGTATCTTTGATTTATCCAGATTTCTCTAGGCTGCACCCAAACCATTAAGTTAGTATCTCTAGGGATGGGCCCCAAGAGTCAGGATTTTTTTAAAGCTCCTTAGCGACTTCAGGGTTCAGCCAAGACAGTGAGCCATTGCTCTAGACAGTGAGAGGCTCCAAGACAGTGAGAGGCTCCTAACTCTTCATTGCAGTGAGGGGGGATAGCCTGAAAGACCCGGAGTTCAAAACAACTACCTACTTCCATTCCTGAGCACTGCCAAGGCTTGCTGAATCAGATTGTTCCCCTCCTCACCTGAGCTTTTTGCAACCTATCAATTGCAGGAATAGGCAAAACATGATGACTTCCTGAGGGTGTTCCCCACAGCAATGAGACACTTTATTATGTGGGAAATGGTCCAAGACTTCAATTCCTTCTGATGAGGAAAAAGTCTGATAATGTGAAACTGAATTATTCTCAGAAGTGTGAGTCATGATCAAAGAATTGTATCTGAATTGTGTGATTTCCCCCCCTTCTTAGACTATGTGGGGAGTTCTTTCACTTTGTTGAAAGGACAATTTGATTTTGAGGATGCCAGCAGAGAATCAGGAAACAATAATTGGAAAATGAAACTGAGGTTAGATGCAGTGGCTCACGTCTATAATCCTAGCACTTTGGAGGCTAAGGTGGGAGGATTGCTTGAGCCCAGGAATTCAAGATCAGCCTGGGAAACATAGTGAGACCTCATCTCTAAAAAAAAAAAGAAAAAAAGAGAGGGGAGGGGAAGGGAGGAGAGGGAAGGAGAGGGGAGGAGAGGGGAGGAGAGGGGAGGAGAGGGGAGGGGAGAAGAAAAAACTAACCAGGCATGGTGACTCAAGCCTATAGACCCAGATACTCGGGAGGCTGAGGTGGGAGGATCGCTTGAACCCACAGGGTCAAGGCTGTAGGGAGCAGCCCAGGAGGTCAAGGCTGTACTCTATCCTAGGTGACAGAGCGAGAACCTGACTCAAAAAGAAAAAAAAAAAAGAAAAAAAGGACAGAAACTGAGAGTTCAAAAGCCTGGGTCTGAATTCTTTTTTTTTTTTTAAGCTATATATTTTTCACCTATAGAGGGTCATAGCATTTCTGGATCTCCCTTTGCCTATCTGCAAGTCATAAATGACTGAAGCTCCAGCGTGCAAGAGTTGATTAACTAGAAAGCCACACACTATTATCAACTTCATGTTTTTATCAATAAAAAGTTAGTATTTTCTTTTTGATTTATAAAATCCCTCTAGACATGAATATTTGCACTGATTTTGGAAAGTTCTTTTCTTTTTTCTCAAATGCCTTCCTAATGCAATGTTTTATAGGCATACAGTATCTCAGAAAAACTTGCTTCTGGGCCCTTTCTGCAATGTGGAAAATATAATTGTGCTACTGACCTGTGATCTGTTGACCTTTCAAAGGGCTATTAACAGCAAACCAACAAGTCATGCATTTTTCTCTTTTTTATGCATTCATCCAAGTTAGGCGTGGTCAAGTGGCTGTGGGTTTAGAAAAATAAAAACATGCATAAAGAAATCCAAGAAATATCTCTAACTGCTGGTATCTGAATTTCAGTGACCTTCCAGTAATTCCCTCAGATGATTATATTAATGTGCTTATTTTATATATTATTTTTATAATGGGCATATTTTATAGTATGTTGCATATAACATATTTATATAAACTATATGTTATATATAAGTCTATTCTAAGAGGTTTATCCACTAAACTGTTTCCTGTAACGTAACGGGTTTACTTAAATCACTGTCTTTTTTATTTATTTATTTTATTTGTAGGGACCAGGTCTCGTTATGTAGCCCAGGCTGGTCTCAAACTCCTGGGCTCACGCAATGCTCCTGCCTCGGCCTCCCAAAGTACTGGCATTACAGGCATGAGCCACCACACCCAGCTGATAAGTCTATTTTTTTTTTTTTTGAGTTGGAGTCTTACTCCTTTGCCCAAGCTGGAGTGTAGTGGCACGCTCACGGCCACCCCAGTGTCGACCTGCTGGGGTCCAGCCATCCTTCCCCCTCAGCCTTCCAAGTAACTGAAAATACATTACAACATCCGGCTAATTTTTTATTTTTATTGTATGGACGAGGTCTCGCCAATTTGCCCAGGCTGATCTCGAACCTGCAGGCTCAGGTAATCCTCTCGCCTCGGCCTCCCAAAGTGTTGGGATTATAGGCTAAGCCACTGAGCCCAGCCGATAAATCTTTACCTTCATAATCTTTAGGATTAGGCACTTTTAGAACCACCAGATAAATAAACCCATTAGTAGACTGTGTATTCAAATACGCACATTTACATAGTTAGAACTTCAAAGGAAAGTTTTATTTTAGTTTAGGCTAAAGGGAGAAGCTCTTTAGAGTTCAAAAAATTTTTAACTTGAAATAGTCCCACTTGCACATAGGGTTTCATAACTATGTAAAATAATGTTGATCCAAAACAAGATGATATTTAAAATGTACCATCTTACTGAATATTGAGTACTGCCTTATATTGTATCGCTAATATCTGGATTGCTATTTGAACAAGGAATCATTGATCACAAGACAAACATTCAGCTTCAATGACATTTTCAATTACCACAAAATCAGGAAGAAAACAAAAAGCATTAACAATGAAAAACTAAAAAGTCAGAGTAAAGGAAGCAATCGGAATGTGTACCATGTATCATATAATGCTTGTGCTATGGTTATATTGCACATCTTTTTTTTTTTTTTTTTTTTTTTTTTTGAGTTGGAGTCTCACTCTGTCACCCAGACTGGAGTGCAGTGGCCGCTCCCGGCCACCGCAGCCTCACCTGCTGGGCTCCAGCGATCCTTCCGCCTCAGCCTTCCAAGTAGCCAGAATTACAGGCATGCGCTACCACGCCCGGCTGATTTTTTGATTTATTGTAGAGATGAGGTCTCGCTGCCCAGGTGGGTCTCGAACCCGCGGGCTCAGGCAATCCACTCACCTCAGCCTTCCAAAGGCATGAGATTAAGGGCTGAGCCACCGAACCCGGTTTTTTTTTTTTTTTTGAGACAGGGTCTTGCTCTGTCGCCCAGGTTGGATTGTGATGGCATGATCATAGCTCACTGTAGCCTCAAACTCCTGGGCTCAAGTGATCCTCCCACCTCATTCTCCTGAATAGCTGGGACTGCAGGTGCATGCCGCCATGCTTGACTAATTTTTTTAACAAAAATTTTGTAGAGACAAGTTCTCATTATGTTGCCCAGGCTGATCTGGAATTCCTGGGCTCAAGAAATCTTCCTGCCTCAGCCTCCCAAAGTGCTAGGATTACAGGTGTTAGCTACTGTACCCAGTCTTATCACATTCTACACAAGGAAGTGTGTTCCTGAATTTCTACAAAGTATCATAAATGCATAGCCTGCTGCATTTATTCTCATACCTGTAATACTAGCACTTTGGGAGTCTGAAGTAAAAGGATCGCTTGAGACCAGGATTTTGAGACCAGCCTGGGCAATACAGTGAGACCTATCTCTACCAATATATATATATTTTTTATTTTTTTATTTTTTTCTGGGCATGGAGGCACCCTGTAGTCCTAGGTACTCAAAAGGCTGAGGTAGGAGGATTACTTAAGCCCAGGAGTTCGCGGATTTAGTGAGCTATGATTGCACCACCGCACTCTAGCCTGAGAGACAGAGGGACAGCATGTCTCAAAACAACATCAACAAAAAACAAAGCATAGCCTAATAGTTCGGTCAGGGATTGTGCGATTCAGCAGGGCCCAAAAGTATGTGAAGCAATGACGAGTCCTTTCCAGCTTGGTTTGCATATGTGTGTGAAAATAGGCTATTGGTTCCCTGATTGAAGAACAGGAGCTCTGAGAGTGTCCTGCACTCCCTTTAAGTCTGGAGTCAAAAAACCTTATGTGTAAAGAGGCCAAATCATAATGTAAATGAGGACAGGAAGGTATAAGACCAGAGGGAAGGGTGGAGACTGCAGCAAACTCAAAAGGGTGTGACTCAGCAAAACGGGGTCATAGCTCAAGCTGATTTGGGTCCTGTGGAAAGGTAGGCTGTGTTACCACTGAACTTTTTGTGAATTCTCTTCATTGTAAATGTCAGCAACAAATTCCAAATATTGTTTGGGATCAACAAAATGCATCTACAGGCTGGATATAGCCCCTAGACCATGAGGTTATGATCTCTGTTGTAGACAAAAAAAATGAGTGTCAGCCAGGTGCAGTGGCTTATACCTATAAACCCAGCATTTTGGAAGCCTTGAGCCCAGGAGTTTGAGACCAGTCAAGGCGACATGGCAAGACCTTGTCTCTATAAAAAATTTAAAAATGAGCGCGGCGTGGTAGTGTGCACCTATAGTCTCAACTACTAAGGAGGTTGACATGAAAGGATTTCCCAAGATCAGGAGGCTGAGGCTGCAGTGAACTATGATCGTGCCACTGTACTCCTTCCTGCCTGGGCAACAGAGTGATACTCTGACTCAGGAAAAAAAAAAAAAAGAATGTCTATGTCTATTTGTTTCAGGCCTGCTTTCCTTGAAAACCTAGAACCTTATGCTCTCTGATAAAATTATTTCAAACCATCTTTTTTCTTTTATTTGAGCCTGAGTCTCACTTTGTTACCCAGGCTAGAGTGGAGTGGCACACTGCCAACTGCAACCTCGACTTGCTGGACCCAGATGATCCTTCTGCCTCAGCCTTCCAAGTAGCTGGAACCACAGGCATGTGCCACCATGCCCAGCTAATTTTTTTTTTATTTATTGTAGGACGAGGTATCGCCATGTTACTCAGGCTGGTCTCGAACCCCTGAGCTCAGGCAATCCTCTCACCTTTACCACCCAAAGTGCTGGAATTACAAGGGTGAGCCACCATGCCCAGCTATTTCAGACCATCTTTGCATGCTGAAAGTTTTTTGCATATAAAGCAGTGAGGTTTTTTGTTTGTTTTATTTAAGGACTCTAGTAACATTTTTTTTGTCTGTTTTCATATGTAGATTTACTAAGAAAAAATGAAAATAAGGTGACATTTTTCAACTTTTTTTTCCCAATGCACCATGATAGGACCTTTCATCGGGTTATTCATTAACACTTGTGGATGCCGTCGGACAGCAATCATTGGAGGGCTCGTCAACTCCCTGGGCTGGGTGTTGAGTGCTTACGCTGCAAGCGTGCATTACCTCTTCATTACCTTTGGAGTGGCAGCAGGTAAGCTTGTGGGATTTTTTTTTTTTTTTAAGATGTGGGGTACAATTCAGGGTTAGTTATACAAATATTCATTTTGCAGGTACCCTTGTTGATGACGCGTGCCCCCCGCTTCCCCCGGCAGATTCCCACTATTGCCAGTCCTGCTTCCCTGCTCCCCTCCTGGCAGTTTCCTGCTACTGTCATGGAAATTTTTTGTTTTTTTTTATAAATGCCTTATGGGACATTTTGGCAACAAATTTTTTTCCCCTCCCTTTGGTAACAAGTTTAATTGTAGAGAAAAGAAATCTGTTAAAACATTTCGTTTCTTCTATCACACCCCAACCCCACCCTACACTCCAGGAAATACTTTTTAATATAAGATGTTAACTATGCCTTAAGTGGAGGAAACCGACCTAACAGGGGTACTTGGCCTGCCTAATAGACTCAAATTAAATTTCCATGCCAGGTTCTAAATGCTAGTCCTTTTCTCCTGTGAGGAACAGGAAAAGGAAGGTAGTCATGCCGACTTGGATGAATAGACCAAAGATTAAGGAAATTAGCAACATCCTCTCGTTTAATAACTGTAAGATTGAGTGCAAATCACAGAATACTCATTTACTCTTTTAGCCCTGTTCAAATTAATAAAATAGCACAAAACCCACATACATGTAAAGCCTCTAAGAAGCAAATCTAGCACTGTTAGGGTGTTATTCCTCAGTAAAGAGGTTAGAATTGGCTCTCAGGCAGCACTGTTTGCATATCCGTTCTGCAAAATATATTTCCAGCCATAATTTCCTGTATCAACAGGTAGTGGGATTCATGCAGATAAGCAGTTTCTTACTTCCAATGGTATTTTAATGAACCTAATCCAGCTTGACTTTCTTTTTGAGTACAGAGCTACAGTTCTCCCAATGAATGTGTTAAAAGTTTTAATAGTATAAAAGTTAAAAGTTGGTTTTGGATCCTGGCTTTTTTTTAACCACCGTTATGAGTGTGAGTTTAGGCAAGTTACTTAACCTACTTATACCTCGGTTTCCTTATCTGCAAAATGGGGATAATGAAGAGTGCCCAGCTTACATGGTTGTTGATATGATTAAATGGCATAATTTGTATAAAGCACTTAGCACAATAGCTGGCACATAATAAAGTGCTCAGTAAATTCTACTTATTGTGTGTATGTGGCATTTTTAGATATACATATTTTATGAGGTTTTAAGCTTAAGTAGATGCCTTTTATTGGCAAAAGGAACACACAGATCTACTGTCCATATAAATCCACAAATTGCTTCTCTGTAATATGCATTTATCTATACAAATACACACATAAAGCACTTCTGTATCTTTTGAAACACAGTTTATAAACTATTGATTGAAGTACAAGATAACAGCTTTTAAATTATTAAATATAATACCTTGTTAATTTTTATTTTATTTTTAATTGACAATAATGGTATATGGGGTAAAAATGCAATGTTCAGCTATATCTGTATATGTGGAATGATGAAATCAGACTAATCGGCATATCCTCACCTCAATATCATTTCTTTGTGATGAGAACATTTCAAATCTACTTCAAACAATTTTGAAATATACAAAACATTATTAACTATAGTCACCATGCTGTGCAGTAGATCACTAGAGCGTATTCCTCCTATGATAACAGTTCTTTGAAAATTTCAGATGTTTTCCCTGAGTACTTTAGAAACTCTTACCCATAACAGTCCAATAAACAGAAGAACTAGCACTGGGATTTTTTGTGTTACAGGTGAGGAAATAAACACTTCTTTTGCTGAGACTAAGGAGCCACACTGGGCTCTCTGGATACATAGTATAGAATAGCAGAGGCCTAAGACAGCATTGCCCCTCAGAGAAGCCATTCATTCATTCTTTCAACAAATCACTAAGCACACACCTGTGTGTTCTGGGCAGTTCTGGGCGTACCAGTGGAGAAAATAGAGTCCTGGCTGCATGGAGTTTAGATTCTGGTGTGAGAATGCTGCTTTCTTCTGTTCTTGGAAAAACCTGTGCTGCGAAGCCTGGTGGGGAAAGTGCTGGGCTAGAAACCTGCTTGGGTGGATGGTCTTCCTGGAGCTTACCCTGGAAGGAGCTTTTTTATAATCACTATTACTTCTTCGTTAGAAAGAAAAGGCCAGGTATGGTGGCTCAAGCCTGTAACCCCAGCACTTTGGGAGGCCGAGGAGAGAGGACTGCCTGAGCCCACGGGTTCGAGAACAGCCTGGGCAACTTGGCGAGACCTCATCTTTATAATAAATAAATAGATATAATAAATAAATATAATATAATAAAATATATAGATATTTATTTACAAATAAATAAAAGAAGTATTTTAAAAAATAGCCGGGCATGGTCATGCGTGCCTGTAGTTTCGGCTACTTGGAAGGCTGAGGTGGAAGGGGGGTGGCCTTGAGCGCGCCACTGCACTCCAGCCTGGGTGACAGAGTGAGACTCCAACAGGAAGGAAGGAAAGAAGGAAGGAAGGAAGGTCCGTCTAGACACTCATTAAGGGAATGCAGATGGTCTTTAACTGCTGCAGGTGCTGGACACGGCCGGTAAGGAAGGAAAGAAGGAAGGAAGGAAGGAAGGAAGGAAGGTCTAGACACTCATTAAGGGAATGCAGATGGTCTTTAACTGCTGCAGGTGCTGGACACGGCCGATAATGTTGTCCTGTGTGCCTTTCCCTCCCCTCTCCGCCCGCTGCAGGCCTGGGCAGCGGCATGGCCTACCTGCCGGCCGTGGTCATGGTGGGGAGGTATTTCCAGAAGAGACGCGCCCTGGCCCAGGGCCTCAGCACCACCGGGACGGGGTTCGGCACGTTCCTCATGACCTTGCTGCTGAAGCACCTCTGCGCGGAGTACGGCTGGCGTAACGCCATGTTCATCCAAGGCGCGGTGTCCTTGAACCTGTGCGTCTGCGGGGCGCTCATGCGGCCCCTCTCGCCCGGGAAGGGCCGAGACCACCCGGGAGGGGAAGATCTGCGCGTCCGCGCGGCGCACTCGACCGAGTCGGTGAAGTCGGATGGACAGCCGGGCAGGGCCGAGGAGAAGGGTGGCGGGCCCGGGAGCGAAGAGACCCCCTGTGACCCTCCCGCCCAGGCGCGCCCCGATCGGGCGCGGCTCGGGAAGAGCGTGTGCGCCCTCCGGGTGCTGAAGGCCGTCAGCCAGATCACCGTGAGGGTCCGGAAGGGCTTCCGGGACTGGTACGCGGGCTATTTTGGGACAGCCTCGCTCTTTAGCAACCGGATGTTTGTGGCCTTTATTTTCTGGGCTCTGTTTGCGTACAGCAGCTTTGTCATCCCCTTCATTCACCTCCCGGAAATAGTCAACTTGTATAATTTGTCGGAGCAGAACGATGTCTTCCCTCTGACCTCAATTATAGCAATACTTCACATCTTTGGAAAAGTGATCCTGGGCATCGTGGCCGACTTACCTGGCATCACCGTGTGGAATGTCTTCCTGATGGCCAACTTCACCCTCGTCCTTAGTATTTTTATTCTGCCGTTGATGCACACGTATGCTGGCCTGGCCGTCATCTGCGCGTTGATCGGGTTTTCCAGTGGTTATTTCTCCCTGATGCCGGTGGTGACGGAAGACTTGGTTGGCATCGAGCACCTGGCCAACGCCTACGGCATCATCATCTGTGCTAACGGCATCTCTGCGCTGCTGGGACCGCCTTTTGCAGGTAAACGCTCCAGGGTTTTAAGAGCTCAGAGTGCATGGAGATAGGGTGTGCTATGGTACACAGTCCAAGATAAACAGAGGAAAGTTTCCATTTGGACACATGTTCACTTTTTTCTTCCCATTCTTGCTTCCTCCCTTCCTCTTCCTTCCCAGTCTCTCTACAAATCCTAAAGACATCTCCTCTCTTAGGGTTGTGTCAACAAACTCACTTTTAAGTCATCTTTGAAATTCAAGAAATCAACTAGAGCAGTGGCGGAAGCAACCGCCAGCATGTTAAATCTGTGGATGTGGAACCCAAGGATACGGAGGGCAGACTGTATATATCTTTACCATCTTCTTCCTCCAATAGATGAATAGTGAGCCGCAAAACCAGCAATTAAACCGAAGACTTTGTTACTCTAAAGCACATCTTCTTTTTATTTATTTTTTTAAAATTTTTTCTTTTAAAGCTGTGGGGTACAATTCAGGGTTAGGTATACAAATGTTCATTATGCAGGTGCCCTTGTTGATGAGGTGTGCGCCCCCTCCCCTGGCATTCTCCCATTACTGCCAGTCCTTTCCTTATAGTATCATGGTAATTGTTCAAGATCTGCTTATGAGTGAGAACGTGGCATCTCATTTTTGAAAATCTCAATACCCACAGAAAGAAAATTCAAGAAATCATGGATGTTTGCCTATGTAGCTGACAACACGGGTAGTTGGCTGACTAAAGGTTTAAGGCCCAAGAGTCACTTTAGGAAACGCTGTGACCACATATGAAGCTCCTCCTGGATCAAGCTGCTCCTGTTCTCTGCCTGTGCACAGAGATGCAGATGCAGCATTTTTAGGTGACAATGAATAACTTGCAGCAGTGCAGCAAACTATATTGGCAGTTGAACAATCTAAAATTCCTCACTGATCTCATTGTGTAGAATTCTCTATCATTTAGAAATCTATTTGGTTATAAGAGAATACCCTGACGGTGACAGTTTAAACAGATTTAATGGTGTCACATAACAAGAACTATATAGTTTCCAGGGACTGCATGATATTGGGAGAGTGTCTTGGGGATCCTCTTGGCCTTTTCCTCGTGCCAGTTGACTGACAGTCACACAATGGCTGCTGCAGTTCCAGACACTACATCATCATTTATAATGGGGAAGAGGAAGGCTCAGTCCCAGCAGAATTTCACTTACATGTGATTGGCCAAAATTGTGTCACATAGCTAATCCAAGCTCCAAGAGGAGCTGTGAATTAGAGTATTTTGCTTTCCAGCCTCTCTACTAGAGGAAAGGAAGGAGAAAAAGATTGGAATTGGAGGTTGGATTAGCCAACCAATCATACCTTCTAGAGATATTAAACTTAAATATGCATTGAAAGTATGGGCTCCTCCACCCTCTTGTTGGAAGTCCTTCAGATGTATTGTATGTGGAAATAGAATCTGTCATTGATGGATTTATTTATAAACTACTTGGGAATGTTCTTCTAATGGTCATTCTGGGGTTATTTTTATAGCAATCCATCAGATTTCAGTAGCAGCATCACAACACAGCTGTAAGGTGTGGCATAAGTAATCCATGATCAATGTTAATTAAAGCCCCAACGTTTGCCAGCATGGCTTCCTTATCTTATTTCGATGGTCATGTCCTTTCCACTCATTTTCATTCCAGTGGGCTTTCGTGAGTGGAAGAGAAAGGACTTGCAAATAGAGGACAGGGAGTTGCACCCAACCCTTACATCAAGTCTTATCTCTCTGCCTGCTCCCCACTAGAAGTAGCCTCTGTAGCAGAATGTGAGCCACCATGGATGGTAGAAACCATAGTATTAATGATTTGGAGCCTTCTGTGAATGGCATCACAGGCTGCTATGGATTAATGTTCTGAATTAATGTTCAGATGTGCCTGTCTAGGCCAGTAACCTACAGGGGTCTTTCTTCCTTTGTATTTGTTGATTTCTTCTCCTTTCACTGAACTCTCGCACTAAGGAATAGTGAACAACATTCATTGGCTTCCTGCATTATGCTTAATATTGACTTTCCAGGCCAGGAGCCATCATTACAACGAGATGCAAGCCCAGCATGCATGCACTGTAGGGTCAGAGTGACTGGCAATATGAATGACTAAATGACCACATTAAATTCTTGCTAGAAATTTGAGATGGGCTGGAATATATTACTTAGCTGGGTTTGCTGCAAGGAAAATTACTGTTCACTTTACCTTTTTTTAAAACAAAGTTTCAGAAACAAGTCTGTTTTCCATTTTTCAAGGAGGTGTCTACCGGCATTAGAAAATCTGATACAAGGTAGTACCATGTTAGACAATCACACACTTTCATGTAGGAGAACAATGTACAATCAGAGATATTGAACAAACATTTCAACAATGTCACTTAGCAACATGAATTTCTTAATCTAATTCATTTATAATATTCCTGGAAATTCCATTCATCGCCTCTAAACATGTATAATAGTACTTTTCTAGACATCTCCTGTGTACAGTATAGCAAAACTTAGCCACATAGATTTGGCTGACCAAGATTCAATACATATCGCCTTCATTCACATAAAATCTAACACCTTAACAATAATTTGCAATGTTTTTCAGCCAGAACTGGGAACACTTATTTGATTAATAAGAAAAAGAGCTATTACTTCTCATTTGACAGATTCAAATGAATACAATTTCATAGGGAACCAGATTTTACTTAGAAGCTGTAGGTTTGAATTGATGGTTGGATCAGTCTGGCCAAGGATTCCAGGTTCCAAATTAAGGAAACGAGATCAGACCTCTAGGGAGAGGCGGTGAAGGATGAATGGGGAGGGCAGCTGGTGGAACTGTCTTCTCTTTGAAAGAGTTCTGTCAACATGTGTCAATTTTCCTGGTAAAACACTGTCTCTCCTGACATGCTTTGCATCTGGCTGGGTTTGAGTACAAATTAGTGTAAGTATTAAAACAGGCACTAATGGGAGGTGTTGGGATCCAGAGTAATTTATAAATAAAGCCTAGAGGTAGATTGGAGGACACCTATGGGATTCACTTAACGTAAAATTTAGGACCACACCTACAATTTGTACTCTGTTAAATTGTTTGGTGAAGCTGAGTGTGCTTTTAAACAAAAATTAACATATGAGTTACTTTTAAAGCTTGGAGTATGTGGAGATGCTTTTACAAATGCTTACACTTTTAGAAGAAAGATGCAAGAATTAAAAAATATAATGAGTTTAATTTAAGGCTGTAGCAGTAGGTAATACACTTAATGGACATTCTCTATATTCTGCAGAGTGAAGATGAGGGATGGGGTAGAGGGGAAGGGATCCTGAAATGGATCCTGGTGTGCTCTAAGGGTGGGGGTATTTATTACTGTCCCACCCAGAAGGGGAAACAGTATACACACAGACATGGAGCCAAGAGAAATGTGTTTGAAACTACAGCCAAAGCCGGGCTCAGTGGCTCAGCCTGTAATCCCACGCCTTTGGGAGGCTGAGGTGAGTGGATTGCCTGAGCCCGCGGGTTCGAGACCCGCCTGGGCAGGCGAGACCTCATCTCTACAATAAAATAAAATTTAAAAATGAGCCGAGCGTGGTAGCGCTCGGAATTCCAGCTACTCGGAAGGCTGAGGCGGAAGGATCGCTGGAGCCCAGCAGGTCGAGGCTGAGGTGGCCAGGAGCGACCACTGCACTGCAGTCTGGG